ATAGCATGCACGAGGTTTTCAGCATTAAGCCCCTACTGATTTGTAAATCTCATTTTTAGTTATTGTAAGTTAGTTTATTGATCACAGCTAATGCCCATTTGAAAAGTGTGAATACTAGAATCCAAGTTAACTCTTAAAAACTTTCAACAACTATTTTTTTACGAGGACGAGTTTGTTCTTCAGCGCTTGTAATAGGCTAGCAATAACCAATATAAACACAGTTTTAATGGGCATAATCATCATGGTAATTTATTAGGTAAAGAGGACCTTATCATCTGATATCTGTCCAACCATCACACAGTTGTCGGCGACTGCAAATAATTGTATAGGCTGGTCTAGTGATAGTAGATCTATTTCTGAATCAATAATGCGAAATAATTGTCAGGTAATTTCATAAGTCAGTTTAAAAGTATATATATTCCAGGGTTTCGATGTACCTGTTATCCTACAGAAGACCAAACATCAAAGCATAGGAATGTATCAAAATGCCCCTTTCTAGTCTTTGTGCTAGCTCTATTTTATTGTTATTAACAGATTTGTAAATGGAAAATCTTGCTTAGCTTTTTAGAACAAGAATGAGATAAACTTTAAAACTTATAAATCCCGTTCCCTCCCTCAGGTACTTTAGTCTTCTTAGAATTTAACTTATCCTTTAGGAAATTTGCTCGAAAACTATTTCTCAGATGATTTTGAAGCATACCATCTTAAATGGATTTAGTATGACTAAAAAGTATGTCTGTATTAGACACATGTCATAATGCTCTTTGATTACTATATTATTCCTAGCATAAGCTCTGCGTTTCGCAAAGAATGAAGTACAAAAAGGGTGACATTGTTTGCAAAGGAATGGACTGACTAGCATGCACTTCAATACACAAATAATAATATCCGTAGGCATCAACTTTCCTGCATTTTGACGATGGTTAATCTAGGGCTACATTGTCTCATCCCTCCTTCAAGGCAAAACCATTTGTTTAGGCTGAGTAGTTCAGCTATTGTAGCTATGGTTGCTATGCTGGATAAAATAAAGATCATTACCTCTTCAGTAGAAGTTCTTCAAAGCAATTTATGGAAGTTTTTATCGCAAATTGATCAACTTATATATGCAGCCTCGTGTGCCAACGAGACAATCATTCCTGCCGGAGTGTCAGATTTACTTTAAAAGCGCTGGGTAGATGGGGCCACTCTAGCCTGACTAGCTTTTGGTAAGATGGTAAAGTTGTATCAAATCTAGATACCGCTTGTGGAATTGCGCATCAAAGTAAGTTTACAGAATTCTTTGGACAAGTGGATGTACTAAGCGAATTCTAATATTGCTAATTATGTAGTAATATATCTTATTATTCTCACTGATGCAGGATGTTTTCAAGTTTCTAGGCAGACTGGTGGCGCAGATATAATAGAATAAGCATACGATAAGTTTAGTACCGGTATCTGGTTGACATGCTTTCGTTTCAGATCACTGCGTAATACGTACATCGTCAGGTAGAACGCAGTTCCCCTACCTACTTTTGAGCCAGAAAAGCGGGAGGCAAGATGTTCAAAGCTAGTTCATTAAGTAAAATTAGGTGATTATGAGCTCTGAACTATGGAACGAAACAAGAGTAAATCTGTCCTGGCTTAGCTTTATATGAGTTGTGTTTGTCCTATTTCGCTAAGGTTTGAAGTACTGGCAGTTGAATTTTCTTACAATGATATGAGTATACCTTGTGTTTCCATTGCTTTCCTAAAAGGTATTCTCATCCAGGGTGGACTGCAGTTTTCACTTCGCCTAGGTCTCATCAACACCCCCAGCGGGACTCGAACCATGAGAGTGCAGTGTAAAATCTCGAAATCCTAACAAATACCTCAAATTGCCACGAATGTCCTTGGGTCACAGGGCAGATATGAATTTCAAGGAAAGCCAGGCATTTTTCCATATCACATTCCGTGATGGGATTGTCGATGAGACAAACTCATATTTGCTATATTAATTAATGATACTCTCTTTAAGAGATACCGACAATTATTAAGGGCAATTGTATTTGCTAAGATGATTTATATTGCGATAAAGCCAGATAAAATCGCAATATAATCAGTGACAAAGCGTCACCATGTAATACTGCTTTTCTAGGCATCGAATCTACAAATCTTCTCCCGGCTTTTCTTTACTTCGGATTTTCAACTAAATTGAAATAGATCGATGGCCTCCCATCCTTTTAAGAATCAATCACGAACCGGACTGCTACTCCACTCACAGCAACCGAGAGTATATTATGGAGGCGCTTGCCACCCGGTTGAAGTAGCACATTAAAAAAAGTGTTTAGATCTTAGAGCTAAGAATAGTCGAAAACGTATTCTTCCAAGTCCGGCAATCGAAGTGGTCTCTTAATTGCGTTCGATTTCTTCTGCCAATGTGAAAATACCCTTCTAGCATTTTGTTATAGATCGCAACAAAAAGCTAAAGAAGGAATGTGGCTCAAAGGTTTGGTCTGAGCTATAATTGTCGATTTTCGATGAGAAAAGTAATGGAGTCATCATTTTTCTATACTAAGTTGGAAGAAGGTACAAATTAAATGTAGTCACTCAGCAGACTACCGTATTTTTTTTATTTCAGGTGGCTAAAGATCAGTATTCACCATCGGTTAATTATCTCGGACCTCTCAATTAAGTGTTTATTTCATGGACACTAGCCACTCATTTTTAAGTTCAGTGACCTGATACAAAAAATAGAATATACTTTAAAACAAGATTACCTGTTTCATAGGTGACGTGCGGCTATTAATCCTGTGAAAAATCAACGGCTGCGTTTCTGCGAATTGATTACTGATCATAATATTTTCGGAAAGTGTTCGATTCTCACTGTCCATCATGGTAAGGATGCATTTTTGTAGCGTATTTTCGAGGAAAAAATTTGTTTTGGTGAGACCAAGTCAGGTTCACAGTTGGATGGCTAGCTGGCACGGATTCAGAAATAGAGTTGCTTCGGTCTACTCAATTAGTTTTCGTGATTCGTTTTCCTTGTCATTAGTGAGACTGGTTCCCTTGTTTCGACAGTTCCTTTGTCTATGTACAAATTTACTTGGATTTCGTGTCCGTTAAATCAAATCTTACGTTTGCCTTATTCGAACACCTTAAGCTACAGCCAAAGCAGTAAAACCTTCTTTAAAAAAGTTAATAACAAATGACACCAGTTAGGCTATCAGGCCGAATCACTGTCAATATCATATAAAGTTAGTTTGGGTTGCTTATTTTCATCATTTAGAGAAAATGTTTTAAGACGACGTCTATTTTTATGCAGGAAATAGGCAAAAAGAAATAGGATGCTATTAAGGATTGGAACTTGCAACTTCTAATATACGAAATTGGCACACACACACTTGCAAACTTGCCGAGATGAATTCGCCTGATTCAATATATGTCACGTTTACAATAAAACTAAATTAAATTACAGAGTTTGGGGTTTTTTCTTTAAAACGACACAATTCTGCTTCAATTGCCTAAGTTTCATTACATCATCGTGATCTGATTTCGGAATTATGCATTTTTAAAGAAGGAAATCATTACGGCTCTTAAAGGATTCAAAATAAGCGTGTCATTTTTCGTTATTTATTTCTGTAAAACATTTAAGATATATTTTGATAAAGGAATATAAATGAATAGAATACTAGGGAATATTAGTTGGATATATTCAATAGCTGAAAGCGAATTTTACTGTAATTGACATTTTGCTGTCATAAACAAAAGCGACATTGTATTCACTTTTATCTTTTTAATGACGCATAGCGAATCAGATAGTGAATTGATAGAATAGGTCTGGAAACTTAATGAGTTCTGTCTAGTCAACTTTGTATGCACTCTTGTTGCTCTTTATGCCCGATGCAATTACGAAATACTATCAGGATAAGTATATATCTCTTAGGAATAGGCAATCATTTAAAGTCTTACCAGCAATTTAGAGGGGCTCTTGAATAAAAGCCGATGGTCCATGTTGGCTTTGCTCGGGCATTCGCACTGAGTCTGATCTTCTCTTTTAATAAATTTCTCCCCATCTCTTTGGATTGAGCCATCTTCGCTGGGATTTTTTCCCCATCCGACCAGAATGTGGTCATACTCCTTAAGGTTTCTTTGCTCCTGGCTTTGCCTTGTTTGCTCTTGTAAATGAGGATTAAATTGTTTCTGTGCTTGACCTGGTTTTGCTTTTTGGAAACTAGTCTTAGATGCTTTTGGATGATCAGCAGCAGCAAAATGAGACGAATTTACTGCTTTGTGCATAATGGAGCCGCTTATAGTCCGTTGAGCCAGATATCTATCAGGCTCTTTGCAGCCCTGGTAAAATGTGTGATCTTTTTGCTTAACATCTTCAGTTTCATCCACAATTCTCTGTTCTAACACGGCTGTTTCAACTTTGGGTATCTCAGTAAAATGGTCTTGAAGACACTGTGAGTTTCTGGGCGATACTTCTAACACGGTTCCACGACATAACAGACTCGAGAGGCGTCTACTTATTAGGATCCGAGAAGGTCTTGATCCATGCGTCTGAAGCTGGTTTGCTTTTGAGGATTTTAGGCTCTCATTAATGCAAAGCTCGGAGTGATCTTTTTGTTTTTTCTTTATTGATGCATCCTCCATTTGTAAGACTTTGTCATCTGATAAATACTCATTTGGCCACAATTGCTCGTCCACGCAGTCAACGTTAGGCACTAAATGAGTGGCAATTGGCTGAGCCATCCCTTCATAAGTCTGACCGGAGATTCGAGCCACACAGACTTCCATAGAAGTAGCATCAGATAAACATTCGTTGGATAGCGATTTGGTTAGCAGGAATCCTGAGGACTGGCGTTCGCAAGCAATGAGTTCATCGGCAGAAAGACAAGACGGCCACTCTCCAATGTAGGTAGGGGCAAATGCGTTGTCATGGGGGCTGATCTTAAAATTGTCGTTACATTTTGATATACATCTGCTTTGTGTGAATTCGGA